TTGTTTACTGTGACAGTCAGAGCGCCATTCACCTCTCCAAGAATTCAACATACTATTCTAGATCCAAGCATATTGATGTGAGATATCACTGGATTCGTGATGTGCTTGAGATGAAAGAATTACAGTTGGAAAAGGTACATACCAATGATAATGGTTTAGATATGTTGACAAAGTCTTTGCCTAAGGAGAAGTTTGAAGCATGTAGGCGAAGAGCGGGCTTGGTACAACCCATCATATGAGCTGGAGGGGGAGAATTGTTGGGTCCAGCCTATATGTGGGCTTGGACAAATTGGGCCTATTGAGCCCAAATCACTAATTAAGGTGAAGTAAGGCAAATTAGGGTATGCAAGAAAAAAAAAAAAAAACGCAGAGCAGCGTGCAGCGTGCAGTGTACGTGCACAGTGAACAGCGACGGCGTAGAGAAATAAAGAGAGAAAGTAAGGTTTCTGAGTTTTCTGCTTGACGATCGGTGGCCAAACGTTGTCAGTTTCGGCCCAAATTTTATGTGGAGAATCCTTGCAGCAAACTCTACAATCCTAACGGTGTTGATCTGTAGTTTACCCTCTCTAAGGTACTTTCCTGAGATATCTACTTTGTGAGACCTAGAATTCTCTTCGGAGGAGATCCATCTATGATGAAGATATGATATTCTTGAGCCAAGATCTATGTTCTTGATGTTATTCTGATCCTCTAGTTATTCTAGAGAAGACTTACTGTAAACTTGTTATCATCATTATTGATAGTGGAAGTTTGAGGTGGACTACGGTCCCGTGGTTTTTCTCATATTGGGTTTTTAACGCACGTTAAAAAGATTTGGTCTCACTGTGTGATTGATTTATTGCTCTATTGTTTATGCTGTGCTGATTGATATTAGCATTTGAATATCAAGTTGGTATTTTGATGAGGAACCTATTTTGATACACAAAAGGGAAAGAATTATTCCGCAAGACTCTTCTCTCACACTCCAACATCGTTCTACTCAATCAGAGCTTTACTCTTCGATCCACGATGGATGCATTGAACAAACTCCAGTTGCTATTCCCCTGAACTATTGCTTTAGCTGAAACCTGGTTGTCCGCTTGAACAGGAGATGGTTGTTTTGTCCATGTCGAGTTAATTACCCACTTGCGCTGCATCACATGGAATTGTGCTTCGGCTGCTGCTTGGACCTGCCCTTAAAGCCATGAAGATTCCAGATCAACAAGGACATCATATGACAGGAGATGGGCATCTTTGTCTTGCACTTGGGAACATTACTTTAACACACAAGAACAGAAGAAGATATGGTGTTCAATCAACTGAGGACTCGTAGCAATCTCAACTTGTACTTGTGTTACTGCATGTTCCAGTTTAAGATCATCTGGCAGATGCTGAAAGCCATTGATTTCCACATGGAGTTTGGTGAGGCCATGTGAGGCAGTGTAATATGGTCAAATGAAGGAAAAGAAGGGAGAAGATGGTGAAGAGGTACAGGCCCTCCATGGACTCTTGCAATCGACAAAAGTCTTCCACTACAGAAAGACCTCTCTCTCTTTTCTGATGCCTTCTAAATTAAAGGAGGTGTCCTTCCTCAAAAGAAGTTTAGAAGCCTTATATGATTGCTGCACAAAATTAATCATGTCCAGACTGATTTGAGCAAGAGAATTGCGAAGAAAAATAATTGAAGTTGGAGTAAATTGTCTGTGCTTCCTTTCACAAGCACAAATTGCATCTGGTTGATGAATATTGGAGCTGCATCACAATTGAAATTGCAGTTTTTGCAGGTCAGAGTTCTCCTCTGTTACATTTGTCTGCGAAACCATCTGCCACTCATTTTTTTGGTTCATTTGTTTGAGCTTCATACTACTGTGGACTGTCCTTGCTGATGCAAATTGCTAATCTGAATCTATAAACCAATACTTTATGATTGTTGGTGCTACATCTATGATATCATTTCATAATTTTTGGTTAGTTTTGGTAGATACTGCATCAAAATTGGGAAAAAAGTATCCATTTTTTCAGCAAGAAAACTTTGAAGTTTGGAACTTTATATATGTTGTCTTATACAATCTTCACCTGCATCCAGGCTTTTGCAGCACCAAAAAGATAGCCACATTTAAGAGAAATGCTTAGTGTTAATCCCTAGAATGGGATTTCCACAAACGGTATTTGAGTACAAATTCAAAAGAAGAAGACTCCAAATCACAAACTTTGGTGCTCGCTATATGTCTCAAAATGGAAAAGCCCTGCAGTATCAATGCGTCGGAATTTCAAGCACTGAGTTCACCAATTACAAGCACAACTTGCATCTGACTGTTAATGCTCCAAATTGATCTCTGTCTATGTTGAGGCCACCTACTTCTGCCAGTAGAAAGTAGCACCTCCATGTCTCTCTAGAGTCCCTGTTTTTGCCCTGCTAAAACATAAAACAAGACTCAGAATTTTCCCCATATCGACTATACTGTAGTATTTGATAAAAGAAGCATTCAAAAAAAAAAGAAAAGAAAAGAAAAAGGGTGAATAATCTGATCACATTGACATGGAGATTGAAGAGTTTAACAGCATCTCATAAGCAACAATGCTTTATCCAGTCGAATAAGATAGCATAAGGTTTTGATGTTAGAGCTCTGGTGACTAATGTTGATGTCAGCTAGAAAAGGCACATAAACTAGCTTGGCCATGGTGATGGTGGCGAGCATAACAACAAGAAGGTTCAGTTATAAAAATAATAATAATAATAATAAAAGACATTCTTTAAGTTAAATTAGCTGAAATCAAGTAAACGGCTAAACAGCTGAAACTAATTAGTGAATTTTAGAAATACACTGCTGGTGAAAGCCATGAAAAAAAATGGTGAGATGATTTCAACTTGTTGTGCATGATCTTGAAATTTGTGTGGAAACAGGAAATGAGTCTCACAATCATCAGTGCAAAGTGAACATAAGCAGATGTGCTATTTTTACCTCTTTGGAACCATGATTTTCTCATAGCTTTGCGGACATGCTGTTCATGTTTCTCCAGAAATTCATCAACCTTTTCTGATTGGAGAAGTACGGGCCCCGAGAAATCCACCTTTTCTGCTCGATCTCTGTAACCCTGAAAATTTTCAGACCAAATGGTAAATGACTAGCTAAGCTATTGGTGTAGAAGAAAGCGAAAAATGTTGGAGTAGCTGCATCAGTACCAGGCCCTGATTCTTAGATAGTACCACTGCATCACGAGGATGATAGGCAGCAAAAGAATGCATTGAGTCTTGAAGTTCTGGATGTAACCATTGCTTCAGCATTGCATCCTTTGTTGACTCATAGGGCTTGTGGCCTTTCGAATTAGAATGGGGAGCATATCCAAGATATCCATTCTCTTCTCCATTAAACTTGAAAGCACTCTTCACCTGTGAATTATTTGATGGATCCAACTTCCCCAATTTGTCCTGTCTGGATCTGGTTTTAGCCTGTGGTTTGATGTGTGGATGGTCGTCTTTCGGTTTCTTTGTACATGCAAAGCCGGTGCAAGCAGAGACAATCAAGGGACCTGAGTAAGTGTCTCCTTGAGAGATTGGCTTCGCTTGTCGATGCTCATCCCTGGATCTAGCAGTTGGTATCTGTTGCTGACCGTTTACTCCTGAAATATCTCGTTTTGGGCCACTTCTGTTGGTTCCTTGAGCAATTTTCAAACCCTGCCAGAAACTTGCTATTCAATGATGATGCTAAAACACTACCAGAATTATTCAAAGATTATGTTCAATAATCTAAAGGACTGACTTTTAAAATTCTCTATCGACTAATTTGCATGTGTGCACATGTACATTAGAGAGAGAGAGAGAGAGAGAGAGACCTCTCCTTGAGATGCTATTTTTGCTAGATTGTTTGATTCATGTGAAGGCTTATTTGCTCTTGAAGGTTTTCCTGTTGCCTCTGCAACACGTAATCTGCCATTGACACCCCTCCTGAAATAATAATGCAGTAAATCGATTAGAAGTTCAAGAAGTAACCTGCAATTTGATCTTTCTGTAGAAGAAAGAAAGCAACAGTACATTCATATCATACAGAATAATCAGATCCTTCTATATATCATATGAAATAGGGACCATATCATATTTTTCTCAAGTAAAATTTTCAGCTCACCTGCGAGACTCCTCACGGAACTTTGCATCAATTTCTTTGTTTGGTTGGTACTTGGGCAAGCTAGATGGATCGCTTGCATAAGGCTTTGCCCTAAAATACTGAACAAGAATACCGAAAAAAAAATTAGATTGTGAAGCCTGACATGTTTTGGAGGAAGAGTGTCCTTAACACCAAAAAAAAAAAACACACAAAAGGACAGATGAAACTATAAAAGGTAAGCAGCCATGATATCAATGTTGCATTGAATTACATAGGATGCATTAGACAACTCACAAGCCAAATTCTACTGAATTTTGATCTGTAACTCGGGAACCTGCCATGCACATGCAACAAGGTCTGTAAATATGATCTTGATGTTGGCAGGGAAATGATTCTGAGCTTGGTTGTCCCTAGTTAAATTATTCTAGAGGATTACAAAAATAAATTAATAGTGTATAAGCAAATTTTCTGACAGACTTTCTATCATATGGAAGTCACAAAGCAATGTGAAAGTGTGGTCCTTCCAGCTGCCTACAATATATATAGTCTTCCCTTTTCCATGTCCAGCAAGAAATGTAGAAATAAACCAACCTTTTCAAACAGCATAAGCTTTTCAGGAAAAATGGTAAACCTACTGATCATTTTATCACAATGAACACAGAATTTTGTTAGAAAAGGACTGACGCAAGTATGGCGAAGGAGTCATGTAAACAAGTCTACACAGATGCAATGCAGAGTATCTCTCAACATGTAAAATTATCTTCATAGCAATATCAGTCTTGCACAATGTGGAACAATGAGAAGATAATTTTTAAGAAAGAGACTCATTGGAGACTAAATTTTGTACAAGTATTACCTCAGAAGTAAGAGCAGTAGAAGCTGTGCCACGTTTATCAGGTTCGATTGACAAAAATGTTCCTAACAATTTCAACGCACTTTCTGGTAAAAAGTTATATGTCGTTTGGAGGCAACTCTCATAAGGATGTTGAGGCTTAAAAACCGTTGCATGGGGCGTCTTGGATTTCTTCCAATAGTCTTCTGGTGGAGAGCCACAGAGCTTAAAGATTTTATGCATTTGTTCAACCTGAAGATAAACAAAAAACAATTAGGACTTCAAGCAAATAATATTGCATTACCTTTATATAGGAGAATTTTCAACAAAAATAACATTTAGCATCTCTTCTTCGAACGATATGTATATGCTGTAGTGATTGAAGGATGATGGAATTCTAAGACGGCTTTGCTAACTACATGTGACTTGGAATTTGGAAAACTAACCATGCTTGGGCACTAATCTTTTTCTATATTTGCCATATCATATCTCCACAATAGAGTTAGATCATCAAATTCATGTACTGCCTTTTGGCATTAGTTGTTCTTCGTGCAACAATTCATGCCTGGCTAAATCCCTTTTCTTGTTTCCATGAGCATCAGCATATAACTGCAGGACTTCACAGACAAATATGAACAATGCAGGATCAGACTGATTACCTCTGTTCTTCCTTGTAAGATAGGCATCCCAAGAAAGAGTTCTGCAAATACACATCCGACGCTCCACAAATCCACAGAGGCATCATAATCCGTTGATCCTAGGAGAAGCTCAGGTGGACGATACCATAACGTCACAACTCGGCTTGTTAGTGGTTGTTTTTCCCCGGGATTCAAGATGTTCGCCAAACCGAAATCAGCAACCTTCAGAATGCCTTCATTGTTAACTAAAAGGTTTGCACATTTGATGTCACGATGAATGATACCGCGTGAATGACACTGTTCAATCCCAGATAGTAACTGTTTCATATAGCATTTGATCTGTAACATGAAAGCAAAGTCAAGTGCCTGCTTCACTGAGGATCTGTAATAGTTTGGAAGGAACATGAATAACCTGTTGTTCACTAAAGTTGATGTCTGGAGAGGATGATAGCCCTGCAAGATCATGCTCCATATATTCGAAAACAAGGTATATACTACATGATAACCGAGAAGTAATTATACCCTCCAGCTTCATGATATTTGGATGATCAAGCTTGCGGAGGATCTGTATCTCCCTTGCCATAAATCTAACACTCTCAGGCTCAAAATTGTCAAAGTGCACCTTCTTCAGAGCAACAATCCTCCCCGTATCAATCTCGCGAGCTCTAAACACACTGCTATAGGTACCTTGCCCGATCTTACATGCATTTGAAATGGAGTAAGATAAATCAGATAATAACCAAATAAAGAAACAGAAAAAGAAACAGTGTTCATGCAGAAGATCAACAAATGTAGTTCTCCAGCAGCAACCAGCAGTAAAAAAAGATCATGAAGCTCCGGACATAGCCTAAGCTGACAAGCCAATTGGTAGAATGTCTCATCATTTTTGGACTGATTCATTTTCATGAATTATAGGATATCATAGGCCATATTTGCTAGCATATGACAGATTCCAAAACATGCATGAATTAGTTTTCTCATTGCTCAAGCCTTTCTTGCCCTCATTTAAACAAAGCAATATGTGGGGAAATCCAAGATGCAAAGTTCTTTTTCCCATCAACTATGACCCTTAATCTTGGAGGCTAAAAGAACAACAGGATAGAAGATCATTAAAACTCCATCTTAAGAAGAACTGTTTTCTGCAGAAAAGATAACAGAACAGAAAGAAATCCATCGACTAAACGGCACATAATTTCTTCAAAGAAACACACAAAAAAAAGGGGGAAAGAAAGAAACTATACATAGATTCGACGAACTCGAAATGTGTTTATTTTGCTCTTCAATTTTCTTTCTAATCTGAGATGATAACTTCAATTGGTTGAAGCAATAGATAGCAACAATTCTCAAGAGAGAGAAGAAAATAACATAACGAGAAAAAAAACCATGAAATCTTGGTAATACCTTCCCTAATTTCTCAAAGGAGTCAGCTTTGAGGGGCACCCATCCCTGAATGGCTTCTCTGGCGACACTGCTCAGCCATGACGGCCATCCTGCGGCAACCTGCTCTCCCTCGGTGCACCGATTCATATTCCGCACCTGAAAGTTCTCCGAACTGTCGCCGGCCGACTCAACATTCCCAGATTTCTCCGACTCGCTTTGGTCCCCGAACTCATCATTATCGACCCGAGGTTCGTTCCACAGCGACGACGAGGCCGGCAGAAGGTCCCTGGACGTCTCAAGGCTCCCCGAGACGCCCGAGGAGTCTGCCGCGGGCGTAACAGGGACTTTCGACGCGACGCAACCCATCACGGCCTATAGCTTGCCGGTCACCAGCACGGCAATCTCTGGGCACCAATGTGATGGGAACGAAGAAAGAAAGGAGGAGAAGAAGATGCCGGACGGGCTACAATCCCTCTGAACGTAGAATAATGAGACATTTAACTCTGTTCTCTTTCTCCTCCACCGTGTGATAATTGCGTTCTGCATCGCCTTCCACCTCTGGCCAGATTAATTGGGAAAGATCACGCAGGCAACAGAGCAAGAATAGGAGGGACAGGGGATCCAGCACGGGTGGAAGCCGCCCAAAGATAGAAAGGTCGGATCTTTTCGAGCTTCTTCACTTCAAAAATAGGGTCTTTCCCTCTTGTCGTCCTCTTTGCTGTTGCTTTGTTGGTATGATTGGAGGTTTAACGCTGTCTCGCCCAAACAACTCATTCCGAGGTTAACGCGGGAAGAGCTGATGAATCGTCCCTCGAGCGTCTTGGAACTTTCTCGCATCTCATATGACATAAAGGAGGCAACTTTGGTTGACATGAACACGGAAACATCTGATGATCTTGGATTTGTGTTGCTTCGTCTGCCGACAGTGAAGTTGGACACACCAAGAAAGGACCAATCAAATAGAAAGCTCTTGGTGGTGTAGAGGACCAACAAGAACAGAGAAGCAAGTGTTGGTTAGTCCCAACCTTGGCCACTGACAACAAAAACACACCTGCCGCAAGATCCTGTGGGTGGGTTGAGAGTCGAGAGGCATTGCTTTGGTGGGGAGATGTTGCTCTAGCTGTGTGGGTTCTTACATTGGATTTCAATCTCCATTACCCATCACATAAAATACTCCACATCATTGCTCACCCAAAGAGTATATACAGAATGAATTTTGAAGATTCGTAGACTTTATACCCTCCCTTGTTGGCTCAACTTTTCATCACACTAACATTTTTGCTCCTTACATCTTTTTTGTCCTTTTAGGCAGGTGGTAGTACTTCTCTCAGCATCATAGAATGTAGACAAGACTAATTCATATAGATTGTCCAATGTAAATAAAAGATTCTTCACCAAGAAACAAAGGATGCCACCTTAAAATTGCTTCCCACGCCTAGCTTATCAGTCTCTCTCCTTATTTTGATTGCACTTTCACCAACATGTTCAGTCCTTAAAGAAAGATGCCAAGTGGTAAAAATATGTAATAAACAAGAACAACAGCTTTCTTCCTTTCCTGTTAAGAGTGTCTAAAAAGCATGAAAAGCAGAGTCTTCCTGCACTTCCTTTCCTAGATCGATGTGTTGCAGGAAAGCAAGGGAGTCTTCCTGCGCTCGGGAGCTTTTTGCTTGAATCTACAATGAACACTTGAGTATATTGATGCAGCACTGACCATGTTGCAAACAACCAGTGGTCAGATACTTTAAATGTGCTCTGGGCAGGAACAGATCACTAGAGTTTTGTGCAGAGGCTCCTGTCATGTGATGAATTCAAGTAGTGATGAGATTTAAGAGCAAATGTTTGTAGTAAAATTTGGTTCGGTCAACTTTAATACTTGAATTTTCTTGAAATGAAAAGATCCTCTATACATCCTACCAATATGAACAAAGCTAGGGATTCCTGGATTCTGATGGCACAAACAATCCAAGATCTCTTCAGTTACATGTCATCACTAATAGATTTAGTTACATGTTGCAAAACTCCCAGATATTATCTTATCAAGCTTTTGAACCCACTGCCCACTTCAATCATGATATCAAGTATGGTGAAGGATAAAAGCAGTCCATGGTGTCAATTACTTTAGACCAAATCTGGAAAGCTAGGCATCATCATGTTCTTGTCTCAGCTGAACTGCCACTGCCTGTTCAACATTCTCTCTTAAATCTGCTCTATCAAGAGAAATCTGACAACTAGTAGTACTGTTAAGAGTGTTTGGTGGGATGCTGCTTGCAGCAGCTCTGGCACTCATCATGCTCTCAACTGCTGTTTCTCTCTTTCAACATGCTTTCCTGCATTTTGCAGCAGATATCTTTGCTGCTGCTTAATACCAAATTGGTAGATTATTTCCCCAATTATTTTTCTCCTTTCCTTTAGAATTTTCGATCTTATAACTTCTGCATTACAAGTCAGAAGAACTATGCGAGAACCTGTCATCCATTCTACCAAGTAGTGGATCATCAAATCTCAGTTACCAGCCATATTGCAAAGACACCAGATAGGAGCAGCAGCACAAACCTCAACTCTGTGCGCCTCACCGCATCATGGTCATAAAAGACCCGTCGCGACCGTCCATTAGAATTCTTCCGACATCGCGGCCGTCCATGTTGTTGAACAGAAACGTAAATGATAAAGACAATAATTTGATCGAATCAAATGGACGATTGAGATGACAAGAGAGGATGGAATGAACGGTGGTTGATGAACCCACTTTACGATCTAAAGACCCGGCTTCTCCGAGATCTCCGCGACCGTAGGGAGGGGATGGGAGACGAAGAGCAGAAGGACAAACCTGCGGCCTCTCCTTCCGATCGAATCCCAGGAGGCCACAAGCCCCTTCTTCGATGCATCGTAAAACTGGGTAAAAGTCGCTCCTTTGATTCTTTATCTGCTTCTTGTTGAGGATTCAGATATGAGCCTTCTTCCATTTTTCTTTTTCTTTGAAGGTGGGGCTGCGATCACTTGCAAGAATGAGTTGGAGAGCATAAATGAGGAAATCTTGGAGTCAGTGTGTGTGCAGCTGAGGGAAGCAATGAGCAAATCTGCGAACTCCTCTTCAGGAAATGTTGTTTCCATGGACTGGAGCAAACGGCTCGGGAAACCCCTCGTTTCTGCGCCCGAAGAGTTCAGAAATTGTCGGAGCTTGGATTTGGATAGCAATTTTATTGTTGTTCATGGAGCAGGTTGGCTAGGATGGTCAAATTTCTTAGCTTTGTTTCTTCTTTCTTGATCTTTTATTCTTCAAGAACAGTTCGGTTATGAATGCCAAAAGCCCGAACAGCAACTTGCTGGCAAGGGGTTTCAATTTCTCTTCATAAAGGAATGGTTTCCTGATCGGAAATTTTAAGCCTGTTGTTGCCAGAGAAGTGCTTGACTGTTGCTAGAGTGTTTCAGAAGTAGAGTAATCTTCTTCTGCATGACATATTTTCTTTCTCATAATGAAGATAACTTCTTTTAACTATCTGGTTTAGTCATTACCTGCTATTTGCTTTTAAAGATTAATGTCAACTTGGTGAAGCTTTGTAGAGCAAGAAAATATTATTTATACTCCCTGTTCCTTGATGTAGTGGCAATTATTTTGAGTGACCTAGGCTGGTAGGATCACCAAATATATCTCCCTTTTCATAATTTCTCTTCCCACATACCCTGAATATCTTTAGAGTTTGTTCTGTGAAATGGACTTGATTTTCAAAAATAATGGATCAAGACTATAATTGTTACCCAGAAAATTCATTTATTTTGCATAAAAAGATCCACCAGAAGCATTAAGTGAAATGGGTAGCTTTCCATGGACAGGAGTAAAACTAGTTTTAATACTGTTTTGTCAATGTATATATAGCTGGTGCTAAGATAGTACTTCAAATATTTTTTACCTGTGTTTTCCAAGATTGATTCTTTGTGTGGATTATTTAACTTTTTTTCTCTTTCTTAGGGTCTTTTGGACATTTTCAAGCAAGTTCATCTGGAGTACATAAAGGAGGATTGAATCTTCCTCTCGTCAAGGCTGGTTTTGTGGCTACTCGAATCTCAGTAAGATAGATCCACTGAATTAACTTTCTTTGTTAAGTAAACTGAGACCTGCTACATGTATGTTTCTGTCTAGACTGTGAACGTACATTTAGTGTCTTTAGTTTTGTTTATCATTTTCTAAAATTGCACAGTGGTTTTAATTGCCTATTCTTAGTGGTTTTCCAAATAATGAATCTTGATTTGATCTGGAATTATTTTGAATCTTCAATAACCTGAAGAAAGTCATGATGTTCTTATCCATCGGTCATTTACTCTTCTCCTGGTTGGTATAGAACATATACATTTGAGGGAGATGCTTTGATGTCAAACATTGCTGTTTATTTGAAGAAATTTAATGTGACATACTTTGTCCACTGAAACCCATTATCGTGATCATCCTAGAAGTTTTGCATCAAATATGGATGTCGATTATATAAAAACCTTGAGGTGATAGGCTGCATGTGGAGAACTCCTTGAACCAGAAGTCAACTTTCTTCTTCCAGCTTTCTGTTGTGTTATCCCTTTTAGAAATGAGAAATGTTTTGTCTAGCATTGATAAAAAAACCTTATAGATTTACATATGTTAAACTTCAACTCTCAAAAGCTGATGCAACTGATCGTAGAACTTTGTTGTTGTAATACATGCCAGGTGCTTTCTTCTATTGAATTTTGATTTGTTGAGAGCCTCTTGTTACATCTTTAAGTCAACCATGTGTTTCTCAGATATTCTTTGGTTACACCTTATACATCATTGTTGCATATTTTTGTTATGCCTTCATAACTTGATATTATTTTCACTGTTTCTGTAATTCAGGTGACATCACTTAACCTGGAAATTGTGAGAGCTCTTGCCAGAGGTATGCATTTTGTTCTGAAGGTTAAGTATCACGTGAGGCCTCTACCATTATTGGTTTGATGTTAGTTGGTATATAAATGTTTTATCCATCTTGACATTTTCAACTTTAATGTTGTTGTTGTTGTATGACATTTTCAACTTTTATATTGCTCCTGCATCATTGTTCTTTATCTCCTTCTCCTGCCAGTATCTACCATTTGCCGGATGCTTCTGCCTGGATGCCAACTCAGTAACAATAAAACAGTATCATCAATCATCACTCTGTTTGCTAATTAATTCAGTCTTATGCCAAAGTCGAAATGTTTACGCCATATGTTTTTAAATAAAGAATCTTGTTGTGCACACCACATCCTATGAAGCACGAGTGGTTGATACTTGATAGGAGATTGGGACTATACAGTTAGGATTATATTACGACCTGAGTCATCGATTTGGATGCAGATGCAAATATGGCATGATGAAGGTGCACCAATATGTGACAAAACTTGTTATATAAAGTGTTAGGATCTTAGTTATATATTGATGAATAATAAAATATTTAACTAGCATTTCAAACTTATCTGTCATAAAATAATGTTTTTTTGGTTACATAATTCTCAAAAGAGTGTATGAGTATAACAAGAACTTATGACAGATGAAATTATAATAATTATTACATACTTTCAGGAACTGATACTCCATGCAAACAACACAAAACAATTATATATACATCTCATCCATGATCAAAAAATTCACATTCAAGAACAACAGTGTTCTAGAAAGTATCCACAAGGTTTCCTTATGCTTATTGAAATATATTATCTTTTACTAATTACGTAAAATATGGTTACCTTGATGTAGCATTCAACACATTTGTGAAATATGCTAAGATTATCTGTATGACATGTACCAATTATGGTTACATTGAGCAACGTTAATCATCCGTGTCTCACGGATCACATCTCAGCATACTATGAACCTTAGCCTTTGCTTAGGAGAGTATGAATTCATTTGCAGGTCAGTGCAAGTGATTCTATTTACATGGCCAGAGATCCCAAATATAGATTTTCTAGATGATTTTTTTTATTTTTTACAAAACGTAAGTTAGTTACATTTCTTGCGTGACTTTTGAATTCTTATGCAGGAATTACATAGATGACAATTCCTGATGATACATTGATCTCCTTGCAGAAGGGATACCATCTGTTGGAATGTCACCATTTGCTTGTGGATGGTCAACTCATGGAAGAAATGTTAGACTCTTAAACCCGGCGGTTATGCAATTTATATTTTAGTTTTAAGGGTTCAGATAACAATATGCACAGTACAAACTCATTTTACTATTCTTATATAAATGTTATCATTTCTCTCTAAGGTAATCACTATCCGTCTCTATTGCTCTCATTAATACTCTTTTTTGAGATTTTTTGTTATAAAGGGAGCTTAATTACAAGTTGCATACAAGGTTCACAGCTAACTAAAGCTGTGGCTTTTTTCAGGTCGCATCAGCTGATGTTTCTCATGTCATCAGTGCACTCCATTCTGGTTTTGTCCCTGTAAGTCGTAAACATTCAATCTCTGTTGCGGTACTTCTATAGTTTGGATCGGGAATCTGAAACAAGAGGGGAAACATAAGTTTGTCTTTAAGGAAAGAATAGAACACTTTGCTTGTTGTAGGAGACAGAAATGGTCATATTAAGTAATTAGCATATTCAAAGTGATTGGTACTACAAAAGATAAGGGAGATGAGGGAGTTATTTCTGCAAGCTGCATGCATACAGTAATTAAATCTTATTCATTAATTAGTAGTTCCTTAAGTGGTAAGAAATGCATAGTAGCTTGATAGAGGATACAAATTAATTTATTCTCTCATTTTCTTTATATTCATTCGCACTATAAATTAAAGAATTTAACAGCACCAGGCTAGTGGCATAAGACGTCATCTCTTGCAGGTTTTACATGGAGATGCTGTAGTGGATGACTTACAGGTTGGTTCAACAGTAACTTTAAGTTTTCTTGAACTTAAAATTTTGTATCCTTATCAGTGAAAAGCTATTATTTTGCACATTTTTTGATCTGGTACTGACTATGGGGCTAAATTGATCAGGATTGCACCATATTGAGTGGGGATGTGATCATACGTCATCTTTCACAGCTACTAATGCCCAACTATGTTGTATTTCTTGTATCCACAAATGCATCTATTTTGAAAAGTTTGTGTATTGTTTACTAAGCTAAAGTATTTCAAAAGTTCTTTCTTTAAATACTGCAACACCTGCAATGTGTTTTTTTAGCCCAGATGCTTGTTATAAGTGTTGCTCTTAAGCACTCTTGTAGGGTTTAAATTTCAAACTATTGTGACTTGCTTTCCTACTATTTAACATGAAGACAGATGTTCTAGGAGTTTATGATCGGCCACCAACAGACCCACATGCCATTCTTCTCAGAAAAATCGGTAAGCATTCATTTATTGCATGTGTTATTTTGGTTAGCTATAACTAAGGACAAGTTCGAAAAAGAGAATGATAACGCAAACCGTGGGGCTGTAAGTCGAAAGGCATGAAGTTAATTGTTTCTTGAAAAATCCAGGTTTTTGACACAATCTTTTCTTTTTTAGTTCATTATTCTGGTAGCCCTATTTTCCTACTTTCACTTGCTATAAATTCAAATAAATTTCAGTTGTATGATATTCCTGCTGAGCTAACATATTCATAACAGCTGTAGATGAGGATGAAAATTGGATGATTGTCAAGCCCAAACTACAGCATGAGAAAATGGGAGGTATTTGATGACTGCTGAATGCACAAATAATTTATCTAGGAAAGAAATGTGTAATGTATGACAGTGTCATGGACCTCAACACATGGAGAAATCAATCATTATATTCTGCTGCTGCCTTAAGTAAATAGATGTAGCATGTGTGATAGTTCTGAACTCAAAAGCAACTCCTTATTACATGCAGTTGAGATTACAGTGGCAGCCCATGATACAACCGGGGGGATGAAGACCAAAATATCTGAAGCTGCAACGATCGCAAAGCTAGGAATTAACGTCTACATCACCAAGGTAATAATCATTCAGTGCTAAAAGTAACTTCAAATTGCTGGTGTCTGACCAATCTTAAGCATCTCCTTGGGTTTGTAGGCTGGAACACCACACTCTTTAAGAGCTCTTAGGGGAGAAGTTGATGATGCTCCAGATGATTGGCTTGGGACTGTCATCTGCTCCTCCAAGAACAGTATCTTTCAGAACACTGGTGGCCAAGTATGATACCTGTAATCTTGATTGCTATCAGCCCCTTAGTGTGCCCTAGTTTCACCTTTGTTTTCATCCCCGGTAGTGCAATATCACTTTGCTTTGTGATCACTAGTTCTTGGATACAGCAAAGCTTTATTACAATTTTGTTGCAATCATAAAAAGACAACTTTTATGCATGCAGAGGCCATTTTTAAATGCATTTTTTTCTTGAGGCTAAGGATACCATGACATTGTTGCATCTTAAGATCATCTTCCGTAATATTGCTCTCACCTAATGATAGGGGAAGATAATACATAGCAGGCTGTTGACATTCTGACTCACACGTCAGGTGGGTCCCAGTCCGCCAAGCGGGTGATATATCAGGGAAAGAAAGTGAAAAGTCAATGGACATAGTTGAAATCTCATGATTTTTGGATTCGACGATTTTATGATCGAGAGATACGCATAATGACCACTTTTTTATTCTCATGATCACTTATCGTATTATTAAATATCCTAACTAATAAGTTAGGATTAACTTCCAATAGATTCAAACACTTACACCTCTCTGAGATCACTCAGTTGACTAAGCATCAAATAGATAGATTTTATCGGATATGCTCTTGAATTAATAAATTGACATTATGAGAATTAATAAATTGACATTATGAGATCACCGATGCCTCGCTCCCCTACTAGAGCTTTGATAAGTATATTTAGAGAAATTAAGATTTTATAAGCATCATAGTCATCTTTTATCTTCAAAGACACCTTTTAATATTCATCGTAAAAAAATAAAATCGTATAGATCCATCCAAAATATTAATATTCATCGTAAAAAAAATAAAATCGTATGGATCCATCCAAAATGATGTTAATAATTAATATTTTAAATATATATATATAATTATATATATTTTTAGTTAATAAAAAAATATTCGAACTTATCCCCTTTAAAATGATTTGAATCTACCTACCTCAAAACATAAAATTGCCCTAATGTGAAGGTCTATCCTTTTAATTTTAATCCGACATGGTGATCTTATTCCCAAATAAACAAGTTAATGCACAAAAATCCACAAGGTAAAAAAACTCGCAAAATGTAGTATGCAATTCATTAGGGAAAACAAAGCGATTAGGGTTCCACAATTATCCTTTTTTTCCTCACATTAAACTGCATTCTGTATAAAGCCTAGCACAGATGTAGTAATAATGCATGTGCGCACACAACACATTGACTTTATCGCTCCCACAAACATTTCTGTGTAGTGGACTAACACCATACCATCTCATGCCTGCCGCATGGTTATCCTCCGGATCAACCAAATCAGGTGGTCGCTCGATTCCGCCAAATCCCCAATCTGTAGGGTTTCATATCATCATCTCTTCCCTGCCTTGCTTGCTTCCTAAGGATTAAGTCGCCCAGCTCGGTCCGTCTTCTCTCTAGCTGTTGACTGCGCATGCTGGTGCGTATACTTGTCCTATTTCACACTGTTCATGGCTTTCGGTGTCGGTAGAAGCCCTGACGTTTAAAGTTCTATTTATTGGTTTCTCTTTCTCTCTATCTCGTTTTTCTTCCCGAATCATATTGGTCATATTAGGAGATTATAAACATAAAGGTATAAAGATTGAATTTTTCGTTGGACGAAACATTTGCCACCTGCCAGAGCAAGCTAATCTGAATAATAAAGGAGTTTTTGCCTCTTTCATACCATATGCTTTTGGTGAGAGCTCAAGGGGATTGCTTTAACTGTGTCTCTTATCAAGTTTATGAGATATGTTGCTTGAGTTTCTTTGGGTTCTGATCAAGTTTATGATCAATTTAAACGTCGCCTATCAGTTAATATTAGAAGTTACATAGACGAATGGTGTATTCCTGTATCATTCTTTGGGATTTGGTACTTCATTCTCATTCTGAGTGTAAAGGCTAATTAAGAAGGTGAATACTGTTTTTGATGGCGTCTAAATGTACCGTAGTGGTCATTTTGAGTTGCCATATTTACATTCTTAATAGCAACATAAGCAGTTTGTTCTTCAGCTGAAAATCAAGTTTTATTTTAATTTGGTTTTTAAAGGTAAACTTGTGCCATTTTGTTTTGAAATGGATTTAAAAAACTTGAAATTATGGCAGCTTGCTTGAGGAGCAGAGTTTAAAAGTGGTTGAACTCTGTCAAGCACTGGTTAAAAAGCCACCCAAATGATGCCAGGTGTTTGCATAAGCAGCAGCTTGGCAGCCTCTGCAAATGGAGGGAGTTGTGGGGCTGTTACCATGGTTAACAGTGATGTACGACTTCTTTGTAAGATCCCTATGAACTCTGTGATCATTGGGCCATCTCTACGGCGCCAGGAACTGCTGAGGTTACACCCCACCAGCTCGAGTAGAACAAGAAGAATGAGTTCCCGGGTTAGAGCTACATGGCCATTCAGGAGCAATGGCAAAGAGATGGATGTCAATATAGAGCGCAGTGAGGCTGCGAACGAGGACATCTTGATTTTCTTTTTTCAGTTGGACTTGGAGACTCGAATCCAGGTAATATTTTCTTGTTACTATACTTATTTCAGTACACTCACTTTCATATTTTGAAGTAGTTTGGCATATCTGGATGTTTAATTAGAGGTGGGGTTGTCTGTTATATTTAATGAAACTAAACAGATATTTTATTCTCTAATGAAATATGAAACATACATTGATTTGTCATTTGAGAGGGCAAACCTCAGTATTATCATAAAATTGCTTCTTTGCAATCTAGTTGACTAGGTTTCAAGCCATGGAGATAGCCTTTCTGCTTGTGGAGTAAGACTGCGTATGTTGACCCTTTCTAGACCCTTCATTGGTGGGAGCTCATGCATTAGTTACCCTTTTAATACATTTATTTGTCACTTGGACTGTACCTTGCATTTCCTGAACTATTTCGTTTTCAAATCATATGCATCTTTATCTGCTTCATTTTTATACCAACTTGTCTAAAAACTATGCTCTGAGATTCTTTTCTGTTTATTGTCATTGCAGTATGCTTTAAACATGGAACAATATGAAGCTGCTCAACAGTTAAGGAACAAACTTGATGAGGTAGATAACTAAATGGAGGTTTTAAATACAGTAATCTGGTCTAACATGCTGATGTCCTACTCCTCTTGGTAGGTTGAAGCAGAAATTATTAAGCAACGGGAAGCTAAAAGGGGTTCAACAAAGAGTGAAGCTCAGGACAAGGCCATAAATCTATTACGACTCCGGTGAGTTTGTTATGATTTTTCCATCAAGATTGATATCAATCATCATGCATTCTTTTGCACATCCAAGCTAAATATATTATTTTAATAGGAACCTCTTATTTGATTCTGTACGTAAAAAGTTTTTATCTGCTGCACCATTTTAGATATTTTCTTTGTTAGCCATAGCTGGTGCAGTGCCTTGCCTTTTACCCATTTTGTTTCTATCATTCAGTGCTGACATGCAGAAAGCTATAGAGGATGAAAACTATGCTGTTGCTGCTGAGTTGCGTGATGAAATATCCAAACTTGAGGTACAAAGGAGCCTGCTGCTTGTTCTTCCTTGATGTCTATTTCTTGATTCTCTTCTTTATGTAGCACGTTCACTATCTATGTCTTGTCATATTCTCATGTGTTCTGTTATTGGTGGCCTCTTGTCTGCAGACTGAGATTCTAGCTGCATCAGCAAAAGCTCTTGCTTATGAGAACATCCAATATGCATTTCGTCTTGGGCAGAGAGTACGACATAAAAAGTTTGGTTAGTTTCTGTTCTCTCACCAGCTTTTCTGTTTTATATGGCACATGTACATGGTTTTCTTTTCTGAAGTTTCTAGTATTTTTTATGGAAGGTTCGGATACTGAAATTCAATACATGAGTGTGCATATTTTTTTGGCAAAGTTTAAGGCTCCTTCATCAAAAATCATGTGAAGCCAAGCATTATGAAGCTTGTTCCTGGTGAAGCTAGTTTATTACTTGATTGAGCATGGATAAGCTTCTAGTGAGTTGATTCTTTCTAAGGAAATTTTACGTGGGAAGCAATGTTTTGTGTCTGAACATTGACCATATGAAGAGAATCATCCCAAGTCCTCTACTTGTTTCCCAGTTTTACAACCAGCCAACAGGGTCTGAAATGTCTAAACTTATTCAACCATCAGTTTCTCGGTTTTGCTTCTAGATAATAGTCCTAATTAAAAAACTTTTAGCATTTCATGCCCTTCCTACCAAACAATGTATGTGATATGAATTTATATTTTGACTTAATCCATTATCTAATGAAATTTCTATTCAACCTGTAGTTTGGTAGAGATTTTTCATAGTTCAGAATTCAGATGATGTCCATGTACCATACGATGCAGAACATCTTAGCGAGCTTGATCTCTATAAGGTCAGAAATGGAACAAATGTGTTTGGTTTGTGCATGATGTTCGGCAATAGCATAGGTGCATGTCACACAATTGACTTATTTCAGATAATATTATGATTTTTAAACACAGGTATTGTAGTTTGAAGTGCTTTGTTCCATAACATCACAGTTGCTTCATGTCTTGTTAGTTCAATAGGAACTACATTTTCCCATATCCTGAATGATTATTGTTCAACATAATCATCACAGGTTATCGAGCTGTAATTTGTGGCATGGATCCTGTATGCTGTGAATCAAGTTCATGGATGGAGATTGCACATGTTGATAAGTTGCTTCAAGGGCGAAATCAACCATTTTATCAGGTTAAACATATTTAAGAGAAAACCTTGTTAATTATTCTTAGGAATATCTTCAGTTTCCAGCATGAAGCGGAGTCTAGTAGTTCCGCATTGGATATTCAAACTTATCACTTAACTGTCCGGATACAAGATAACATCACTTGTACCTGAAGATTACCTTTTTCATGACTGGTTTCATCACTTGTATCTTTCAAAGTCTTCCCATGAGTCAAAATCTACGATGGCATCTAGGGATAAATCTATCTTGGTAATGCAATCAGATGATGCACATCAATTTGCCTTTGGAAGTGTGGCTCTAATGTATTTTAGACCATTGATTTCTTGATATTCCTTTTGATGTGGCTTTTTTCATTATACAGGTATTGGTTGATGTGCGTGCAGATCCCAATCTTCTAGTCGCATATGGTAAAAGCTTCCTTCTTTAATTCTTAAATTCTCCTATGTGGATCCAGTCTAGCCTACATTCTTTATCAGGCATGGTATTATGTTCAGTTCATCTTGTAACTTCTGAAACTCACTGGACGGGTTTGTGCATGTTAGAAATTGCTTGAGCGTAAGAAAGCAATCCTTGGCTTTATGTCTTTTAAGAAAGCACTAAGGGCTTGTGACAAAAAGACCAAGGTCAGGAGTTGTAGTTAATGAGCCTATACCCTTTGCTTCAACAATCAATTTGCTACTATAAGTGGATTGTCTATGACCAAGTTACGTGCAGCCATTCTTCGAAACAAATCTATGGTACTCAAGATCCGAGCTCTTGCCAGATTTCATTATATGTTATGGACATGTAGTCACAATTAGCTTTCAGTTTTTTCTAAGATCATGAGAGAGAGAGAGAGAGAGAGAGAGAGATTTTCCATCATCTTTTCCTACGTGAGCATAATAGGTTTTTTTCACATGTGGTTGCATTGAGGACTATGTTGATGATAGATAGTTTGTTCCATAAGTCTTCACAAAGTGGTGAATGTCTAGCAAATTAGTCATTTCTCTCTTCTGGGAGCCCATTTTCTACTGATATATTCTTCAATTGTGGAAGATAAAATCTTGACAGTACCTAAATGTGTTTCAATTATCATCAAGAATTTTCAAATTTTCTAAGGTTTGTAAAGAAAGATACATTTTTTTTCGCATTTTTATGAAAAGAAACCTACTTTAAGTGGATTGTCTATGCCCATGTTTGGTCCTTGTTATGCGCAGCCATTCTTTCAAACAAATCTATGGTTGTCAAGTACTGAGCTCTTGCCAAATTTCATTATATGTTATGGACATGTCAGAATTAGCTTTCAGTTTTTTCTAAGATCATGAGAGAGAGAGAGAGAGAGAGAGAGATAATTTCCACCTTCACATGCGGACACATTGAGGACTATGTTGATGATAGATGGTTTGTTCTATAGTTTTCACAAAGTGGTGTTTGTCTAGCAAATTAGTATATTGTCTCTCTTCTGGGAGCCCATCTTCTACTGATATATCCATGTATTTCAATCATGGAGGAGAAAATCTTGAAAGTACCTAAATGTGTTACTTTTCTCACCGGAGAATTTACAATTTTTCTAAGGTTTGTAAAGAAAGTTGTTTTTTTGACATTTTTTATGAGAAGAAACCTCATCACTACTGCAATTATCTTGATTAAGGCGTTCTTAATATTCTTGTCACTGTTACACTATAACTATTTTCAATGGCTTCTCACTGTAAATTCATTATGGATGAATGCTGCAGTTGCAGAAGAGAATCTTTTAGCCAATGAACAACCAGACATGGTCAGTGGAAGCACCTTAGTGAGTAGCAATGAAATTCCTGTTAGCCTTGTGGTTTACTTATATTTGCACTATTGACTTGCAGGACAGGTTTGATCATCCTTATGCTTCCTTCCTGTTCTATGGGATGGACACCGCAGGTGACTTCATCCCGATAAAGCAACTCCGTGAGAAATACAATAAGCCGCGCCATGAAGTTCCGGTGGACACGAGTGATGAGGATGCCGGCGGCAATCTTTGAGCAATGTTGCTGGGTTGTTGGGTTGCAGCCTATCATACAGGTTATCATCTGGCTATATGGTGGAATTCTACCTTCATCCATGACCAATACTTTGATGTGGCTAGTGTTGTTCAGCTTCATCTTCCTCCTTCCACCAATACTAGAAGCTGTGCTTGGAAAAGTAAAAGAAAGGATGGATAGTCAGAGAGTTGTGTAGATATGTGCTAATAGAAGCATTGAAATCATAAAAATAGAGAGAGTAAAAATTACTCCTATTTGGTTTGCAAAGTTGCTGTTGCAGACTCTTGGTGACTTCACTTGGTGTTTCATACCTTTTTTTTTTCTCTCTTTTTAATCTATAGATAAATTCTAGTACTGGTTTGGAATTATTAGTTTATAATGAAGGTTCATGCGAAGACAATGAACTGTGGAGATAATAATGTCAACTTGTTCTTGGTGACAGTCATCATATCCTACGGGGACAACCATGAATGCTGAAACAAACAACGGGTATCACCCAAACCATTATGCATTGTTGAGAGTAATATCAATTAATTCAGAACAGGCAGTGGTATAAAAAGAATCGAATATTTTAACTCATCTCCGACGAAATTACTTCCTCCATTGCTCGAGAGCATTGCTAACCTTATCATGATTGTGGCCAGAGCAACTTCTCGTTGCATCCTCCTCACTACTGCTCATGAAATGATGATATCCTGGGAGATGATTCTTGATCGAGACTTCTGTTGCCATCCCTGCAAGTTCTGACACCAGCCAACGAAGAAGTGGAAGAACATGACGCCAAAGGGATTCATGATGGAGTTTGTTGTCCAAGAAAGATCGAGTGACTCCAATATTAGCATTGATGTAATACGAGTTCACATAATTTCTCTAACATTTGATAGACCATTGGAACCATTTGATAACCATATCTTACCATTCTTTATTGTGTATATCTGAAAGCTGAGTTGAAGTCTGGATGTGCTCATGGAAGAAAGAGAAGCGCTGCTTCATGTGTCGATCGCTACTAAGCTTGCGATGAACATTAATCGCAGAAGCTCCACAGACTTCTGATGACCGTGACATGCTGTTCTTTCCGGCGATTCCTCTCCGTCACGCACACACGCATTCCATCGTTTTACCTCTCCTGCTATTTCTTTTTGTTTGTAGTGGGGATGTGAGGAGTGACGGCCACCACCACCGGCCTCTCCACCACACAGTTGTCGTCCGCACGCAGTTACTGCCGCGATAAGAACATGGCACAGGCAACAACGCTGCATCACGTGCCGATGGCATGCTTTTGCGTCCACAACAAACCATAAACAAACACCTCTCTCTTGCACGCCCATGTGCCGCTGCCTCCTTCCCCCTGCCATGCCATACTCGTTTTAACTCTCTTAGCTAACGCCAAAATGACAGGGAAGGAAGGAATGAAGGAACGGATGAGCTGTTTTCACTGAGAGAGTGGCAGTCGCATCCTCTACCGTCTCCTCCTCGCAACAAGGCAAAGGGAAGAGGGTGAAAGGATGGCCCGATCACAACAGCTGTACTTGTTTCTCTTCGTAGTCTTCGTCTCCCTGCAGCTGGCGTCGGCGGACAGGTTCACGGTGGGGGACCGGCAGGGATGGAACCCCAACGTCAACTACACGGTGTGGGTGGAGAAGCACAAGCCGTTCCATGTCGGCGACTGGCTCGGTGGGTTGGTTGCCTCTTCTTCCTCCTCGTCTTTTGGATTTGGTTGTTGTTTGTGGTGGAGATTGATGGTGGGCGGTGCGACGTGTTTGCAGTGTTCTACTACCAGTCGGGGATGGCGGACGTGGTGCAGGTGGACGAGGCGGGGTACAACAAGTGCGACGCCTCCAACCCCATCTCCAACTACAGTAAGGGCCGCAACTACGCCTTCCAGCTCAACCACACCGGCCGCTACTACTTCGTCTGCAGCCGCGGGTACTGCTACGGCGGCATGCGCCTCGCCATCCTCGCGGAGCGCCTCCCGCCTCCTTCCCCTCCCCCGTCCTCACACCGCAACTCCGCCGCTCGCTGCCGCCTCTCGTCCGCCCTCCTCGCGCTCGCCGTCTCCCTTCTGTCCGCCGCCGCCCTCTTCCACTTCCACCTGTGAGCCATGGATCAGTCGGCGACTCTGTTGCGCCAAAAACACTCGCTTCTTTCTCTTTCCTTCATTTGGGGTGGACTGAGACAATCCGTGTGATACTGAGCTTGTTCCATGTCATTCGATTCGAGACATTGCAACTCATCAAACTTCCTGTGGTGTTTAATGCGTTTGAGAACTGCATGATGATTTGATCACACTGACGGCATTATCTGACCCAAAAAAAGAAAAGCTATCCATTCAAGCAATTATAGTCTTTGATATCAGTAATGCTGAACCATCAACTTATCCATAATGTGTGGTCATATACACATTCCAATGATTATGAATGGTGAGAAACAATCACTGAAATTTGCCAATAGAATTGTGTAATTGTGATTGTAGAAATGGGAATCTGATGATAAAGAAAAAAGTGACAATTGAGCAATCGAAGCAAAAGAATTAGCTGCACATTTTAACATATTATGAATTAAGACAAATATCCTAAAGCTCCCCAATACCGAGAAGGGGGGGAGGGGGGTTCCTATAGATGTAAAATTCATGGCCATTAAATTTGGAGGATAAAAGAAGAAGCATAAGGTTGAAGTAAATTAATAAATAAATAAACTCAAAATTAGAAGAAAAGATGATCCGAATGCTTCGCGAGAGAATCCAATCCTGGCTTCAGTGTGTACCGGTGGTGTGATCCCATACTCCATGGACAGCAATATGATGAACCATCATTTGTTCCAGGACCGGGTAACACACCCTCCAGAATTCTGAGAAGAACCATCTTTAATATGACAACACCGATGAGCATCTTACAAAATGAATAGAATCTTCCATGCCATCAGGACTGAAGCTGCTTAAATGGATAGATCTGTGAGAAGTCCAACCATTTTGACTGCACTGCTGTGACAGCTGATTTCTTGATTACCTCAGTGGTTGCTCAGATCTTGAGGAAAAAAACAGAGCCATCTCTAACACTACCTCCCTGCTTTATGGTAGCTGCCCAGTTTATTGTGGCTCAAATATATGGCAGTTCCTTATGAAGTCATTGGAATAGTTTACATGCTTTGTCCAAAATTTCTGGAGGTGCTTATATCCAATCTCCAGCCATGGTTTGCACTGGCCATTGTAGTGGATCACAGCAGCCTTCGTGACACTGTCGAGGTCTGTCTTTTCCTGATAGCCCAAACCTAGCATGTGCCATGATGGGTCTATTGGACGGACGTAACCTCTGAATGCTATAAGAGCTGGTGGCAATGTACCGAGTTTCCAGAGGGTGAGGTTTGACTTCAAATTCTGTAGCCAAATCAAGAACAAGAATTAAAAGGAGATGCAGATTAACAGAGATGTGCAGTTATAATGGCAAATTGTGGAGAGAAGTGCAATCGCACATCAACTTGCGCTGTTCAAGTATCAAGCAAACCGATAAAAAAATGTACACCTAGGAAACCTAAACTTATGAAAACAAACAGTATAAGCATTTAATAATTTGTATTTCTTTCTAGCTACATGTAACAAGGGAAAATGGGCTTCAAGTTGGTTTTGCCTATACGAGTAAAGAACAATCAAGAATTCATATATATGTTGATTACATTATTGAGATGATAGGCTTAATTCGATTTGTAAGCAAATGGAACAAATGTTCATAAACTGCTTGAGTAGGCATGAGCAGAAGGGAAGAAAAATTCTGGACCAAGATTTCGACCTCAAGTGAAAAAAGTTACGCAGAATTATAGAAAGACCATCCATTTCATCCAAGTACATTTATGGCATACACAGAATTTATAAAGAAATTGCAAGTCAAACCTATTATAATATAACTATTATCTGTGGCATAGATGATTTTAGTGAAAAAAATGGTTATCAATAGAGCAAGAAAAAAGTCATCAATGATAGTTATCTAATAACAGAAGTGGAACAGAAACAGTAAAAAGAATGTGTTTCAAACTTCAAAGAACCTTTATCATCAAGCTACAGAACTATACCTTGATTATATATTTACATAAGAATGTCTTCAAAAATGTGGTGAGTTAAAAATGTTGAAGAATATTTATTTAATGAAAGTGCCATCTTTATATCAATAGTATCTGAAGGTCAAAAACTATTTATCTTTAGGATCAGTTTTAACTGCATCAGTCATGGAATACTTTCTAGCAAAATTAGCACCAATTAGATGGAGCAAGATGATCAAAATTATCTGACTTTAACTGCACTATTCGCGGAATACTTTCTAGAAAAATTAGCACCAATTATATGGACCAAGATAACCAAATTTAGCTGACATTTTATGGAGGACAATAACAAGTCTGATGTTGAGTAAACTATATCAATAAATTTGGTTCATCAGCAACTACGGGCTCACTGAGAACTAAAAGAAAAAAGTTATTGTTTACTGAAACAAAAGCTAGAACAGATTAATATGAGAAATGAGATGAAAAATGAGTTTGAAAGGTACCTCTTTCACCCAGTAATGGTATGTTTCCCTAATGCTCGTCTTCCTCCAGGCATTTAAGTCAAAGATATTCATTCCATATGCCCATGCACACTCATCAGGGTCCAACTTACTGGCTATGAGTGGATGTGAAAAGTTAAAATATGTTCTGAAGTGCTTGCCCATCACCCATGTATCTTCACCTTTGCAAGTTTCCACAGCACCGTTTACTTTCCCAGAAAGATCAATCTCCCATAACGGTGACAAGTCACGTTGAACAACAACATCATCATCAAGAAACATCACCTTGTTGAGGTTTGGAAAGAGCTGTTTTACATGTTTAATAATGCACATTATCATCATTAATTTCAACAAAATCACTTTAAGTTTGTCACAGAGAAAACAAACTACTGTCTGAGGTGTAATATAATATGTGAAATATCACTTATTTAATATAATACTACTATATTATGTTATAGATGTATGGAGATGATACATTTGTCCTAATATGATTGAAATGCTGAGGTGTTTTGGAAGTTTCCAACATGGACATGACACGGATGTGGTGCTATCTAGAACTGTCCATATTTGAGAGACAAGCATAAGTGGAACTTCAACTTCAATACATATCGATGATACGAGTAGGCTTTTTAAAGAAGTTCATGTTTCTAACACTGTGAGTAAGTTAAATTTGACAATAGACTTTGTCTTGTTTACTTCACACACACCTAACTTTTCTTTTTTCTTCATTTCAACCCTCTTTGTCAACATGTATTTTAAGTGGAACTTAGCATGCACAAAATCCAAGAGCATTCAAGAAGGATAAATTTAATTTAGCATGCACTACAATGGTCGCCATGAATCCAAGGAGGATATTTCACAAAAATTGACAATTTTGGGCAGTAATGACCAATCTATTTCAGGAAAGATGGATTATGTCAGTATGCAATTCATATGACAAACAAGATAAGCAGACTGAAGGTCATTATACGACCACATTATGACAAAAATCAGAAAAGGTTTTGTCAGTCTATACTAAGATGAGAAGAAACAATGACTGATGAGGCTATCATATTCTGCAACATAAGGCTTTCTTCACTTCCTTTTTCCTCTAGATATAAAGATCAGCTCTCTACCCTTAAAGCCTGGCCAACAGTTTGACCAAACTAAGCCTATAGATATGGGCTCAAAGTGGATGTTAAACTCAGCTTTACAGAGGCTGCCATAGTAGCCCTAAGCCAGCTAAATGCTCAAATTATGCTTGAACGATGTGGCCTGATGCTTTTGCTCATATTATACAGAACACTAAGGGGTGAAAATGCTATAACAAGTCATACAAGCATTTCTCACTAAGTGTTTTTATGATCATTTCTTCAACTGTAGAAATCATTCACCATATTAGCAAAGGTGTCATAAAGCAAAAGGAAATCAGAAACACATAATGACTAATTTACCTCGGGCAGGTATATGCGCAGATGGTTGAGTAGAGATATATATTTTGGACTCCTCGCCTGCAGTTTAGAAGCAAAAATCCTTGGATTATCACTAACATTGGTGCCCATGATATGATTTCCATGATAATGGTGTCTAACACCATGGTGATTTTCAATAGCTTCAAGAACAGGTACATTTTCTCTTGTTAACCAGTCAAATTGGTGAACACCTTTCACCTCGATTATAGCAGGAGAAAGAGGATTCAAGGCGAACCATGAGTGCATACCCGGATAAGTCTTCTTGTCAGTTATGACATGGAAGACAACCCTTTCAGGCTTTAATGAAGATCTTACAACTGATGTGACAACAACTGAGGCAGCAAGAATATTATCAGAGGCTAGAATAAAATGGTGATAGGAGTTATCAGATAGCAATGGTAGCAACTCTGGTGGTGGCAACTGTTTACGAGCTTGGGCATTGGATGAATACTCATCAGTCAAGCGCAATGAGAGACAATGTATGCCTTTTGGAATAGCAGTTGCTGCAAAATGTTTGTGCAGTTGTTCTGCCAGTCTTGATCTTCTTACCTCCCTCTCCATATTTTCCATCTGTGAATAACAAACAAATCAGAAAGAAAATCCCCAAGAATATTTACTTAATGAACTATTTGTAAATGAATTAACATTCATATCTATAAAATCTAAGAATGAGAGGTGTCAATTTTTATGTTAAAATACCTACAAAATAATATTTGATCAGATGAAATTTATATACATTCAGATGATAATAAATTAACAAATATTCTCTACGTGATACATTTTTCTTAATAAAAGAAAGTTTCATCCACAATTTTCTCTATCTGATAATTTTATTTTCTTGACAGAAATGAATTTCATCTTTCTTTAACCTTGGCCATGTTTATCTAAATGATAGCCAAATAATCTCATTATCTTCATTGGTGATGCTATGGATTTGGTGAACAACATCAAAAGAATTGACATTAATGGTTAAGACATGACAGATAAGTTTCTCTGGAAGAAAAAATTAGGTTGATCATATATGATGAAAGATAACCTAATCGTTGACAAGGAAATGTTAGGTGAAAATAAATGAGTTGCATAAAGTCAGGAATAAGCAGAGAAAATTAATATGTCAAAGCATGGTTAGAGGAAGCATTAGATGAACCTACATGATCCTTAGTTGCATCAATCCCATTAGTCAACAAAGAAAAGATATTATGCCAAAACATTTTCTAACATTTCATTGGTCTAAACTATGCAACTTTAACTGTACAAAGAATAATTCTTAGAATC